ACCAAAACAAAATTAAAAACCATACAAGTCCGCTACATTTTTCAAACATGGAGAACTAAGATATAGTTGAACCAATTTATATAAAAAATGCCAAATAAATATTTACAATGTTTAGAGAAGTTAACCAAAAAGTGCAAAAGCCATAAAATTTCAAATATTCACCAGAGAGACACCCTTAGACCTTTTCACATCATACTGAACATATTAGCATATAAAACCTTAACAATAGCAAAATTTACGAATCTAACTATCATTGATCAGGGATAACCAAAAAATTGCAGAAAATTGACAAAAAATTGGATAAAATTCAAAATTTTCGAACAAAAACTTCAACAAAAATGGCTACACACTTTTCCAATATACTATCCCCCACACCTAAATCTTACATTATCCCCAATGTAAGAAATAAAGAATAAAATATGAAGCAAAAGAGAGAACAAAACTTCCCTGAACATTGAGGAGAATATTGCACTACTAAGGATGTGGAGCAAAAATGAGGATAAAATCAATAGAATGAAAGTAGTCACCAAATTCTTCAATCATTTTAGACGTGGATATGCCTAAAATATAAGGAGTCTTCTGGTCAAAAATTTTCAACTTGCCAATTCAGCGTGACTTATAGACGTGGGCACGTCTTATCGACTAGTAGTCTTTTGAAATTTCTGAACATATCTTTAGAACCAATCAGCTAATTAGGTGCGGGCGCGGCTTGTCTGGTAGTAGTCTTTTGTCCACGAAAAAAACAAAATAAGAGTTGGGAGAATGTTGACCATGGAATGGAGGAGATGTCACCACATTTGGTAATTGTTCACTGGATTCGTTCACTTGAGCGATTTGAGGTTGGGGTTTCAGTTCTTCCTTTTCAGCTTTTTTTTCAACTGCATCTGTAGATCTTTCTTCTTGAGAATCTTGCAAGTCCTTAATATTTGTCAGGGTAATTGCACTCTCATCTTTCTTAAGATCGATAATAGTCTATGAGTGCAATTCTTCACAAATTGGAGAAAGTAATTGCTCATTATAGATGCAAACAGACGCATTTGATCCTCCATCCTTCTAATTCTCATTTGTGTCTCTTGTTGAAATTGATATGCGTTAGTAATTATTAATTCCACCATTTTTTCAAAAGACATGCATGACATTGATATGGTTGTTGCTGTTGATATTGATATTGAGAACATGTTGGCCTTGCTGCATAATTAAAGTTAAAGTTGTCCCACTATTCTTGATCACATACGTTTGAATAAGGGTCATCCCATATTTGATACAGGGTTGGAAAACTCCAAAAGTATTAATTGGGGCACTCAGGTCATCTTGTCTTGAAATATGGGATACATGTCGGTTGAATGACCCAAACATAACAAATTTCACAAAATGCAACAGCTAATTTTTCTACATGAGAGGCATCTAAATGTTGATCATTAGAAAAAACACGAACCTCATTACCCTTTTTAGGAATAAAATCCAATCTATCACCAAAATATTGAATGGTAGCAACCATAAACTAGAAAAAAAAGAGAAAAATAAAAATAAAAATAAGATTAACTCAAAAAAAATAAATTAATCAAACGCCACTCTTCGGTAATGGCGCCAAAACTTGATAAGTGTCAAACCTGTGTAATAATAAAAACTTACTCAAATAAAATACAAAGTTTTGTATATAACGGTGAGTAGGGTCGAATTCACAGGGAATGAAAAAATTTGTCTTTTTTTAGAGCCTAAAGCAAGGAGAATTTTAGACAATTTAGAAATAACTCACTAACCAATTAAAGAAACAATTAAAAAAATAAATAAGAATTAAATCAATAATAAATATGACTCTAGTCAAAGGTACAATTTTTTAGATATGATCCACATAACTAATCATTGATGCAAGGATGATTCAATCACTTATTAATAGATTAGTTATAACCATCAAAAAATTCTGACAGCCAACTTTTCCTTAGTTTATCGATAGTCAAGGTACGACCGTTAATTATTTTCCTAATCAAGAAATAACTCTAAGTACGACCATAAGATTTAATTTCCTAATTGTATTAAGAATTAGAAAAACTCAATCCTAACTGACAAAAATGCTACGAGGGTTCATTTAAGTTAGATCATATGTTTCCCTAATATGAGACCAATCACGCTAGTAGCCATTAGTATTAATCAATCAAATAATAACAGATTTAATTGATTAATATGGCAATAGATTATTAGATTAATTCAAATATCGGACTTTTGACATTCGAATAACAAAATAATCATAAGAAGTTATAGCAGAAGACGTACAAACATCAATGAATAAAAGAATAAATAAAAATGATTCAATTTAACAGATGTTTGGAACCGTGTCTTCAAATTGACCCTTGACTAGAAAAAGGGATTAATTGCTTTCCATTAAAAATAACTCAAGCAATTTCATTGATGAAAGTTGCCTGAGGTTCAACAACAGAAAGAGCAAAAGAAAAGAAAAGACGAAGAGAAAAACTCTTTGTTCTTCCTTGGTGCCGAGACTAATCTAACTAATCTTTAAAGCCAACACAAACAAGAAGACTTCCTTGTTCTCACGTCTCTTACTTTCCTAAACTACTAATACTTCCTAATTTTCTCCAAAGAAAAGAAGATTCCCTAAATTGATAAAAGATAACCTATTTGTTTCTTAATACAAAATGAAAGACCAATTATCTCAGATAAGGAAACATGTTTCTAAGAACTTCGACTCGAACTAGGATACTACCACGCGTATTAAAATCTCAATCCTCCGAGACTTGACAGTAGGATTTGATCGCACCCGCAAAGAACTGTAAAAATTTTCATTAAACCATTTTTTACTTCTTTTCTCGTCATAGTCCTACAATTAGTACCAATTACCAAATATGAGTAGAATTTATCCATTAATACAATATTTGGCTAAAATCAAGGGAGAAATAATCATAAATTTAATAACAAAATTGCAACCTATCAGCAACCAAACATAAATCCAACAATAAAGAATGAAGGAGTGAAAAAATTACTCATTCAATTGAAGAAACAAGAGTTTTCAATTTCCATTATCTTCATTGTCTTCAAAATATTGAGCACATCAAGAGTTCTCCAAGAATTCTCCAACAAAATGAAAGACTAAGCTAACTAAAAAAGCTAGAAAAAAATGTTCAAGAAGAAAACTAAGTCTTGACTCCTATATTTCTAGTTGTTTCTTGTTGCCAGAGAATCAAGAAAAAGCAGTCTTTGAGCTCCCAAAATGCTGCTGCAACATCCCCTCAAATGTCCCTAAAAAAGTGTGAAAATGATGTAAGTGGTAGGTGCTAGGACCGAAGCCGTGATCGGTTCGCGATCTAATCGGTTGAACCGTCCAATTCAACTCGGGTTTCAAAACACTACCTATTAGTGCTCTACGCTACTAACACGTTTTCATTTCAGCTTGACGTTATGTGTCATGTTTCACATGGACAAAACATGTTGTCCCTACATTTTACATATAATTCTTTGAATTATGCTTCCTCCGAAATGTTTGTCTTCTTTTTTTTTTTCCGAAAACGTTAACTTTTCATTGATGATATTTAAGAACTATACACTTAGTGAGCAAAAGACTCTCAAAGAGCTATACAAGTGCATTGAAGCACTGAGGGTTGATCCACTCCTCATCAAAAGGTATGCTTAGAGCATAGTTGCTTATATGACTATTGTATCACTATTTTCATTGGTAGACAGAATAAATGAGCATTCCACAAACATAGAGCTTAAACTACTAATGTCTTCTAGATGAGAAAACAAGCTCACACCCTTGGCCCTGTTGCTTTTGATCATCTTCAACAAGTGTTGCTGTGGAACTCGAACTTGGATTTTAGCCCATTGACATTCACTAGCTTTGCATAAGGCAAGTTTTAGTGCCATCAATTGGTCTTCAAGTGTGTTCCCTGAGCTATACTCTTGCATGGCCCATTGAGCTACCACTTGTCTGTCATAATGTTCTGCCTAATGTTTTAAAACTCGGACCGTCAATTGAACTGGTGAAGTGAAATGATCGATGTTCAACCGATCGGACCGATTCAACCTCGGTTCAATGAATTTTTAAAAAAAATAATTTATATAAATATATATATATGCACAAAATAAGACATGCAATAGACTAATTTAAAACTTTATATGATGAAAAGTTTACTATTTTTGAATAACTTGAATTTTCAAAAATAAATTTTTTTAATTATAAGTTAAAACAAATAAATTTCATTTCAATTTCAATTATATCTACCAAAATAATCTTAAATCTAACCCAAAAATATCACAATATTTTGAAATTATACAAAATTCACATCTATGAGAATTTGACATTGTGAACTTAAATTTTAATTTACGTCTTTTGGATTTAGAGATTGCAATTTAAAAAGAAAGTTTGGAATTCGAAAGAAGTCAAGAGAATCGAAAATAGAAATGCAAACTTGATAAGAAACAAAAAATAAGATAAAAGTGAATGGTTGTAGCATTAAATAATTTGGGTTAAAAAAATAATTCTTTTTTAACTTTTTTTCAATTTAATGGACAAAAATAAAATTAAAAAGATGGAAGAAAACATCAATAAATTAAAACTAAAGAGGTTTGATTAAAAAGGGAATGACAAAAAAAAGAGGAGAGAGAGAGAGAGAGAGTTGAAGATTAAAAAAAAAGAGTCATGAGAGAATGAGATTTTGTAAGAAAAATGAAAAAAAGAAATATGGATATTTGTCTTATATATATAAGTTATTAAAAAAAAAGATATGATGATGCAATGATTATTATATTAGTCTTCTGTTACAAAAATCTTGAGTTCGAATCTTGATAGAAACATTTTGCAAAACTTAAAAAAAAAAAAAGGAGAACCTTGAAAATCGGTTCAATCCGGTTCGATCCGGTTCAGCAATTTTCACGGTTTTGATCGGGTTTGACCAATTTTCTGACAAAGTCAAACTACCATAGAACCGGACCGGTGCCATGGCCGGTTCACGGTTCAACCGGTCAAACCGGCCGGTCCGGTCCGATTTTCAAAACACTGGTTCTGCCACGATGCCAAGTCCCAGCTTCTTGGTTCCCACTTGTTGTTTAATCGCTAAATTGATATATATTCTATCATGTCCACCCCCTTCCTCTTGCTGGTTCATCTCTGCTCTTATTGTTTCTGGTATGCTCATCTCTCTTTCCTTCTCTTTAGTTTTATTGTATTCCATCCATTCCTTGTGAGCTTTCTCTATGGTCTTCAATGGATATCTATCCATTGAATTGAAGACCCTATCATTTCTAGCTTTCCACAGTTGCCACAAAATATTTACTATGAGTGCTATATGATCCATCCCTGCTTACCTGTACCTTGCTTCAATCAAAATGCTCCACCATCTACTGAAGTTTCCCGTATATTCCTCCAATCCATCCCATTGAAGTGGTGACAGTCGCCACACTTCCTTAGTTAACCTACAATGGAAGAATAGGTGTTCCACTGTTTCTATGTCTTCCCCACATCTCTTGCAAATCAGGTCTCCCATTCTGGTTCTGGTATAGATTTTTTCATTGACAGGTAAAGCCGAGTTCATACATTTCCATATAAACAGCTTCAACTTCCACAAATGCTTCCACAGCTTTTCCTTCCCCCAGCTTGGCCCTTCTCCTATTACCTCTCTTTGTTGTTGTTGTAAGCTTCTTTGTCTACTGATCTCTTTATATGCAAAAGCAACAGTGTACTGTCCATTTCCACTATATGGCCAAAAGAAACAATCATCTCTATTTGCCAGGCTGATTGGAATCCTTAGCATCTTCTTTGCTTCCTCTTCCTGGAACAGTTTAAAGATAAGCGGCCTTTTCCTTTTGAAATTGTGAATCAGGTCTCCTACTTTTTGGACTACGCATTTCTGAGGTTTCACTATTATCAATTTCCCTTGTGGATTCTCAGGTATCCATCTGTCCTCCCACACTCTTGTATTTTTGCCATTTCCAATTTTCTTAATAGTTCCCTTTTCCACCATTTCCCTCACCCCTACTAGGCTCTGCCAGATCCATGAAGCATTGTGTGGTACCTTGCATCTGAAAATGGACTGTCTGGGATAGTACTTGGCTTTCAAGACTTTCGCCACCAGTGAGTCATGATCTGTCACTAATTTCCACACTTGTTTCCCAAGCATGGCTCTATTAAAATTTTGCAAGTCCCTGAACCCCAATCCACCTAGTTCTTTCTCCTGTGTAAGCTTGTGCCATGAGCACCAATGTATTTTCTTCTTCCCATTCTTCTCTCCCCACCAAAAATTTGACATCATTGAGCTCAGCTCCTTGCACAATCTGACTGGTAGTTTGAAACAAGACATAGCATATGCTGGAAGAGCCATTGTCATAGCTTTGAGTAGTACTTCCTTTCCAGCATCACTGAGCAGCTTATTTTGCCATTGTTTCATCCTCCTCCCACAGTTATCTCTAATGAAGCCAAAAAACTGTTGTTTGGTCCTTGTAATCACCATTGGTAATCCCAAGTATTTGCCTTGGGATACAGCTTGGATATTCTCAAAATGCTAGCAAACCTTCTTCTGAACTGCCTGTGACACATTTTTGCTAAAAAACACTGAGGATTTTCTAGATTTATCATTTGTCCCGAACCCCACTCATATTTCCTGAGGATCTCTTTCAATTCAGCTGCTTCCTTAGGGTCTGCTTTGCTGAAAATCAAAAAATCATCAACAAAGAACAAGTGTGTTACTGATGGTCCTCTTCTACTTACTCGCATTCCTATTATCCTTTTTTCCTCCTCTGCCTTCCGCAGTAAATTGGTGAATCCTTCTGAGCAGAGTAGAAATAGATAAGAGGATCCCCTTGCCTAATCCCTCTTTCAGGAGTTACAAAACCTTTTAGCTGCCCACTAACATTGAAAGAATATGTTACTGTGGAGATGCAGCTCATAATCCAGCTAATCCACCTGTCAGAGAATCCCATCTTTTACATGATTTCCTGCAAAAACTTCCACTCCACCCTATCATATGCCTTAGACATGTCAAGTTTCAGAGCAAAATACTCATTCTTTCCTTGCCTTTTATTTTTTAAGTGATGCAGAAACTCATGAGAGATAATGACATTTTCAAGAATTTGTCTACCTGGTACAAAGGCAGCCTGGTTCATGCTAATACAGACATTTAAGACCCTTTCAATCCTATTAGCCAAGATTTTGGAAATGATTTTGTAGATGACTTTACAAAGACTAATGTCCCTATAATGCTTCAAACTTGTTGGATTGTCTGTTTTAGGAATAAGGGTGATCACTGTATGGTTCACAGACTTTAGCATAAACCCAGTGTGAAAAAAAGTTTGAATGGCATTGATAATGTCTTCTTTGATAATGAGCCAAAAATGCTGGAAAAAAAGGGGACTCATGCCATCCATACCTGGGGATTTATTTGGGTTCATGGAAAAAACAGCATCCCTAATCTCTTTTTCCTCCACCTTTTTGGTCAAGCTATCATTCATCTGCTGAGTAATTGTGTGTGGTATTCCATTTAAAATCTCCTCCAAATCTTTGACCCCTGAGGATCTATGTTATTAGGACCAATTTTCTAAAACCCCAAGGATTTGCAAAAAGTCTAAGAAAAAAATAAGCAACTCTTCAGATGAGCTTGCAACTACCAACTATTTAAGACATATTTGACTAACCACGCAGTTCATCATTAGATACAGCCAATGTTAGATTATGAGAGTAGTAAAGCAAACAAAAAGGAGATGCGGATTGAAGCAGATTACAAGAGAATGACAGCTGTGAAATAAATCTATCTATCGTACAGATACATGATAAGACCAAGAGACGGTCAATCAATACAATAATGTACCATGAATGAGTAAAATCAACAGCACCCTGAAATAAACTCAGTATACTCTTTCAAGACAAAATACAAAAGGTGAAACAGGCAAAAGATGTTTTGAGCTGAAATCTAGAAAAAAAAAATAAAGATTCTATCCAACCTGTTCAGGATTCTGCGATGGCAGAGATTTCCAACTGGTTCAGCAAGTATTAATTCCATCCTTGCAATCGTTTGTCAAGTTATAGAACGTTTCAACCCTTGTCTTTGCCCTGTAAAGGACTTCAGTGTCCACCTCAACTCTCATATATCCATCAAACTCAACTAGGTGCCCGCCATTCAAAAGCCTTGTGTCATTGTACCATTCACTCATATTTCCCCACATTTCCTTGTAATCATCAAGCAAATGAACCTTGTAATGAGATCTCAGCTTATCAAAGTAATTGTAAAATGGTTCATTAGTAGCAACATACAAATGCCTCCAAGGCATAACTGCTGTTTGCAGATTTTGAACAAGCGCCTCCGGAGATGTGTCAGCATCAAGATGAGGCCATAGTTCCTTATTCTGTGCCTTCTCTCCTCGAACCCCATGAACTGCATCATAGTCCCAGTCCATGCTTCCACTAATTGCCATAACTATATTCATTAGTCTATTTGATTTCAAAGTGCATGCCAGGGCCTCTGGATGTATTTACTTGCTGGACCTTCACAGACCTGATACCAGTAGTTTCCAGCTCAGGAGCATCAAATTGGCGCCATATAATAGTGCTCTTATCTTTTTTCAACTGCATTGGTGTAACTTTATAATCTGCAACCTTTCTCACAGGGATTTTCTTTTTATGTGTTTTATCCCATCTCTTCCAATCTTTATGGAACTCCTCCTCATCCACAACTGACGTGTCTCCTTCAAATGCTCAAAATCAAAGTAGAACCAAAAATCTTTTCCCTCCTCATCCCTATGACTCTGAGTGTAAGAGGAGGACAAACAAATACTCAAATCCATCACAAATGTCCTATTCAGATACTGAGCCTCACCTAAAGAGCACAAAAAGCTCCATAGGTAATGATTCATTCCTTTACAATAATCCCCGCCACGTGAATAATACAGGTATCTCCCATTTCTAAATGCCAAATCTGATCCTACCACCGGAAGCGTATCATTTATTTCATCATCTCTAACAACAGGGGCAGTTTTGTTTCTCAGACCACTTCTAGTGGCATTTGTTCGAATCCTAGTACAGCGGGCATTCAAACCTGAGTGCCAACGCCCTGCATGGATCACCTTATAACTGCAATCATCCTTGAACCCAATCATAAACCTTCTGACAACCCTATACTTTCTCCAAGATTTCTCCTTCTTATTTCTAAACCTCCACGCTACATCACACTCATTAGGCGCCGAACCGTTAACAGGATGTTGATAATCTAAAAATGCAAGGGACCTAAAGGCCCTCAAGTTGAACCTCTCTATAGTTATCAACACCTGTACCTTCACAACCAGATTTCAAGCTCACATTTTTAAGATCCGCTTCAGTTCTCTCAATCACATCTTCAGTAATAGATACACTTGCCCCTGCAGGAGCTAATCTTGGAGACTCAGCAATATCCTCACCAGTTTTAAGTACAGAAGTATCAGTTTTAAAAGCGGCATTTTCAACTTGTGTAAAAACCTTAGTGAGGGCTTTGGAGGACTCCCATGGATCAGGGGGCTGGTATGTTATTGCAATTACGGTAACTATGAGAACTGAGAATACAAAAATTGAAAAACACACATTGCTTATGAATTTTATTAGGTTTTGTCCAATTGGGTCACTTACTGAATTTAATTCCTTCATTGGAGCAAAACCCTTTTTCCAAAATGAATCAAATTGAAGTCATAAATCAAAAAAGGCAGCAAAATTCAACAAAAGACTAGATCTTGACAGAAAATAGATAAAGGGTCTGCAAAAACAGAGGAAAGAGGCGACGGAGAAATTAAACAATTAGCTTAACTAACCTCTGATCTGAGAATGATTCTTTACCGCAGACACTGAATTAACAAGAAAAAATGAATCTTGACAATTATAGTGAGCAACAAGACGAATAATTTTGCAGAATGCAGAAAGAGAGGAACTGAGGAAGGGAGGGAGAAAGGGCAAGGTTTTCTGTTAATCTGATATTTCAAGCTCTTTTTTTTTTGGAGATTTGAGTAACATGAAGGAAAGGACTGGGAACTTGAAGTTGAGATGAGCTTTGTGATGGGTACTGAGAGAGGAGGAGATGTGAAGGAAAACAGAGGAAGCTAGATTGAGGTATGATTAGCACTAATCAGGAACTAAACTTCCAGAGTTGGTGTGAAGATGGGATCTTGAAAATTAAATTAACGATAACCTTCTCTGATCTAACCCAGAGAATACTTCAAAAAGCGTTTATGGCAGTGGGACCTTTCCTTCAGTAAAGAGTAAGTAACTAGGAAAAGTGTAGAACTGTCAGACACGGGTGTCAAAACTAGTAGAGGGAGAGATCTTATACTAAATACTAGAAACTTTTTCGGCTGTGCCAATGCCCAATGTGTTGGCCTAAATATGCAGGAGAGGTATTTGGTTTTCCTATATAGATGTATGGAGATGCATATCATAAATTTTAAACATAAAAAAATTAAACTACTCGTTTGGAACCTTAAAAAATACTGATCTGATTAGATGATGATTCATTTAAGTTGAATAGAACGTCTAACGATGAAATTGTTGTGCAGAGAATATAGTTGACAGCATACAGAATGTAAACCATCCTCATTGGACCATTTACTCATTGCAATACTTGCACCATTTTATATGTGCTAGCATTTCTGGTTGTAGTTACCAGCTAAACTTCTATTTTTGCATGAGCACAAAAAAAATTTGATTCGTACAATGGCTCATTCACTCAACGCATAACCCATTAACATGTTTGAACTGATTATATCTTCCCAATTTAGAGCAAAAACTAAAATATCTGTCCCCTGGAAATCATTTCACTCTAGCAAGTGAAGGACCTCAAGAGTAACAACAGCAACTTCTGATTTCAACCACTCAAAGCATGGGCACAGGCCCCAACAGAACCTAGCCGGATAGTCCTTGAGATAAACCTCTCTACCGTTTCCGATAATATAGAAACTAAAAGAGCAATTATGATGGGCCATAGTCACACGAGTGACTGGGACAACAGAGATGATATGTCTCTCACTATAACCCTTGCAGTATGAGGGACCGAAGCCCTTTCTGCAGTTACTTCAGAGGAAAACTTGTTGAGGAAGAATGAATCGGCAAAAAAGGCAGGAGTGCATTGGTAGGCTTGGGTATTGCACAACTGGATGCCTTGCACTCTGTGGAAAACATCGTCAGGAACTGTAGCAGCTCTACTTGTTGCACTCACTTTCCGAGTTGAAAGTGTCTTCCTGGACAGCCAAAAACACAGACAAAATGCATAATCGGTACTTAAAACACTTATGTTTTCCTTTATTTCTCCATCATGGCACAACTATGCGGCAGATTGAAATAGGCAAACAACATAACTTGAAGGAATGCCATGCAAGAAACAACAAAACTGAAACAATAAATCTTGTGGACAAAGTGATTTCACATTTTCTGGTCGGGTTCACTAAAGCTCTTTTAGCTTTGGTAGGGATCTCAACATAGCATCCAAACGCATAAATCACAAGCCAAAGTTGTTGTAGGCTTAAGTGGCCTAGTACGCATGTCCACAGGGTATACTTGGCCATCCATGACAATTACTTCAAAGGAGGGTTTCAAGCCTAGCACATTTAAGTTTGTCCAATGAAGATTCTGTGAATACTTGACTTGCCATTCTTGAATGATCTTGAATGAACCAACATACTTGCCATTCTTGAATGAACCAACAAACTGAAAAAGTAGTTATAAAATTATTCAAAAGAAATCAGATGGCACTGCTTCAATATCTGGCCCTGAACTGACTGTCCAATGGATCATGGACTAAATGGCCCTTACCTGTGAGGAATATGCATAGGGACCAACTTTTAATGACAAACTGAACCCCAACTTTTACTTAGTTATGTTCTTTTAGCATTTTAACAATTTTTCTCCCAAAATGCTTCAGGCTAGATTCAAAATCAATTTACCTGTCATGATAACAAGTTCATTTAGTTATGTTCTTTTAAACTAAATCCAAAATGTTCTTTTAGTTATGTCCTAAAGTCTGTAAGAGATATGGCATGCCAAATATATTGTGCAAAACAACATAGGCCATACCATCTCATAACAGCCACTTTGCAAGTCAAAAGAGAACCACCACCCATGCACGTCACACATTTGATAGGCCCACAAGAACCACAAGTTACTCAAGGCACCATACACTTCCCATTACATTTTAAGCATCTGCATGGAGATTTTTCGACAAGCTACCAGCTAAATAGAAAAACTTATATCCGATAACAATAATTGCAGAGAGAAAGCTGCTAACGATCAAGATGGGCCTAACATAGCTAAACTGTGAAGTGTGTAACTTTCAGTTTATGGTATGAACTCTTCCTACAGATACAACAAAGTCAGAGTATGGAATACAACTTTACATTGTATCAAACCCATCTCTGAGCAATTAGACCTCTCCCATAGCACGCAGGACAATGCATCATTTTATTTTCTTATTTATCTCCCAAAGGCAGAGCATTATTCTTTT